TTTGCTTCAAACCCGAGCTGGCGCTGTCAGAGGAGATGGAGTTTTCCAGCCATATGGATATTTGTCTTGTTTGGAGCTGTGCTTGTCAGTCTGGAGCCTTTGCAGGGGGGAGGATCTGCTTGTGGGCTCCTAGAAATGGAAACCATGTGTGCACTGACTCCTTTATTTGGGAAGCTGATGGCTGTTCCTTGCCTTGCACATCCACATCCGTGGCATTCTAGAGGTTATTTTTCAAGGATAAGCGCTTCTCTGGCTAATTATAGGTGTCATTACAGGGGGCTGTGTTCTCCTCCCATCCCATGCCAAGCAGCTCCAAGGCACCCAGGAGCAAAACCTCAGCAATGTCTGAGCAAACAGGGAGAAAGCATTCATGCCTGGACGCAGGGGGATACCCCCTTCCTATGCTGTATCAGCAAACCATAGAAATTCTTCCCTGAGGAAGAGGGAGGCCCTGGCACAGGTTACCCAGAGAAGCTGTGGTTGCCCCATCTCTGGAAGTGTTCAAGGCCAGGTTGGACAGGTCTTGGAGCAGCCTGGGATAGTGGAAGGTGTCCCTGCCCATGGCACATGGGTGGAATAAGATAGGCTTTAAGATCCCTTCTGAGTCACCATTCCATGAAGATTTGATGATGACCACAGGGAGATCAGGGCCTTCATCCTGCAAAAGCCCTTTGCTTTGAAGGGGCAGCATCTTGTTTCCACCCCATCCGTGCTGGAAGGACCACGGTGCCGGGGATGCCCATCGGTGCAGCTCCACGCTCCCCTCCCAGGGGCAGGAGCAGGGGTCGAAGGAAGAGGAGTGCTGATACTGTTTTAATCTTCCTTTTAACTGTAATTGTGTTTGGCCAGCTCCCCCGAGCTCGTTCCGGGAGATGCATTTCTCCCAGCTAGATTGCTTTCCTTGTTTTGCTCGCTGGAGACAGGCCGGGGCCTGTGTCATGCCAGCTCTGCATTAATAGAGCCTCAAATGAGATTTCACAGCCTCAAATCTGATTAGTGCCGAGGCTCGAGTTGCTTCCAAGAGTGAGGTAGACAGATGAGGAGCCATGATGCTAGGAGGGGGTGCAAATCCGTACGGATATGGGGTGCCATGCTCTACCCTAACACCCTAGGCACCGACACGGAGCCTGGGGGCAGGGGGGCAGCTGAGATGCAACGCATCTCCCACCCCCAGAAATCCATGAATTCAGGATGCTGGGAGAGGGCTGGTCTAGGTGAAGCATCCACTCACCCATCAGCCCCCAAGACCCTGCTGCAAATCCGTACTTCGCCCCATTTTGGTGCCTGGTGAAGTCTAAAATCCCTCACTCCATCCTGGTTTCCCCGTGCCTGGAGCTGTGTGCCATGATGGAGCCGACTGGCTGCTAACTGGCTGCTCGTCCCACTATTGAGAGATCCTCTGTGGTGCCCAGGGCTCTTGGTGTGCTCTGACATCCCAGAGCCCTGAGCTCCAGCTGAGAGATGGCTAGATCTGCTGGGATTTCCCAAGGGACACCTGGGAATCCAGCATCTTCAAGTTGTCTATGCCCTGGGATGTCCTGCCTCATCTCTGGGACATCCTGGACCATGCTCTGGGTTACCTCGGCCATACTCCAGGATGTCCCGGACTAAGGCCGGGGTGTCCTGGCCATGCTCCAGCCCTTCTTCATCCTCACAGCAGCACAGTGCTGGAGGTGGAACTGTGGCCTGATTCTGCTGCTTGTTTAAAGCCAAGTGGCACTTTATTTCCCACCCGGGAAGGGAAGCAGCTTGTTGGTGTTTAGCTGCCGTAAGGAGGCTTGAAAGGAGCCTGGGGAGACATCACATAGGAAAACTCACACCAGCCCCAGTCCATCTTCACTCATGGAGCCTACTATTATTTTATGGAGTCTCTGGAGGAGGATAAAGCTGACACATTCCCAACAGCTACTCATAAATTGCCAGGAGCAGGGAGGAGCTTGGGGCTGTTGATGATTCCGTGATAGCATCGCTCCTGGCTTTAGCCAGGGCTGGGGGGCTCACTATAAAGGATTACAAGGGTACTGTTCCTTCTATGGTAGGACAGGGACTGGTGTCTTCTCCAGCACCCCAAGGAGCTCTGGGAGGGCTGGGATTGGAGTTGAGGAGGTGAACGCTGCAGGTGTACAGCCCCGGGCTCTCCCTCTGAGCTTGTGCTGCCCCACGAAATCAAAATTCAAGGAGAACCCTGAAATCACCGACCTTCTTCCAGGGGGAAAACACACCCATGGTCTCCAGGTGTGGGCAGGGGCTGGAGGAGCCCCTGAGGTGCCATGCCTGGAGGTCCCTGCTGGCTCCCAGCCCAGGCTGTCCTGAACTAAACGCCGGGCTCTTGAGGCTATTTATGTCTTGTCAGCTCGCAGTCAGAAGCAATTTAATCTTGGCTGAGCGCTGCTGAAAAGGAGCTGCTGGGCCCCGGTGCTTCGTTCGAGATGATAAAGAGTTGATAGAAAAACAAATTACGGCGATGGCAGCTCAGACGCCGTTAATCAACCTCCCCGCAACAGCGCGGTGTGAATAATTAATAATCATCGTTAGGGAGGATTTAAGGGCGGCTCGGGGTTGAGGGGCTGCGTGGGATCAGGGCGGTGGGTTGCGGGAGATGCTCACGATGTTCTGCAGGAGTCGGTGATTCTCCAGAGGTCCTCAGAATGTTCAGAACGTGGTGTCACCATCTTGGGCACACTCAAAATATATTTTATCTCCACCTCCGCAAGCTACAGGTTGCAAACTCCTGAGGGGAGGGCGCGTGGCTCGGAAGGATGGAGAAGCTTTTCTCCCACTAAGATTTGAAAAACAAGCGTGGGCTCTACCTGGAACTGTAGGGTAGAAATACTTCTTCCTTTTGGGAAGAAACACTGAATCTCCAGGCTTTGAACAGTGATTTAGGGGGGTTTTTTGCGTAGTTAATCACAGGCTTGCTGAGGGTTTGAGGTACTGGTTGCCTGCGAAGCCTGGCATTGTTCACACCTGCTATTTTTAAAATGGTTTGTTCTCCTGCTGAGCTTTATTTTGCTTAACCACTTGTGAATTTTCTAGTAAAACCCTCGCTAATTACCCTGCTGTCACTGTTGCTGATGGTAAAACCAAGGGAGATGTAAATACAGTGGTGGGAATGAAGATGTGCACTAAGAAACCTGCTTCTGTTACCTGGAATGTGAAAGAAAATAGGGAGAATATAAGAAAATGTCCCAAAGTAATGATCTGGAGCAGTAAATAAGGATGGGAGGGTGGGATGCTGACCCAGCATCACAGCTTAGGTCCAGGGCTCTCCCCCCAGAGCAGGGCTCCATCAGCGAGCTCCAAGGTGTCTGTGCAATTAAAGCAAGGTTGTTTCTGGGCTCTGCCAGCTGGAATTCCTCCAGGTCAAGATTTTAGTGAATATTTGGCCAGGTTGGACGAGGCTTGAAGCAATCTGGTCTACTGCAAGGTGTCCCTGCCCATGGCAGGGGGTTAGAATGAGATGAGATTTAACATCCCTTCCAACCCAAACCACACTGGGATTCTGTGATGTTTGGGATGAAAATGTCCACTGAAATTCCAGAACTGGAGCCTGAACAGATGCTCTCTTGACAGGATAGAGGGGTCTCCAGGGAGAGCATCCCTGCCTGCATGCCTGTGCCTGCTTCCTGCCTGCAAATCTGGCACCATGGCCCCTGCAAAACCCCCAACCATCCCTGTCTTCTCTCAGTGATGGATTGGGATCCATTCCCTACTCGCTCTGCGGGTCAGGGAATCCTCCCCCACTTTGTGTTTCCGCTCCTTCGGTGCCCCTTTCTGGCTGTCACCAACACCAAGGCTGGCCCAGCCCCAAGCTCCAACTGGGTTCTGAGCTGACAGAAAAAGAGAAAAGAAAAAAAGGAGGGGGAGAAAAGCTGAATTACATATTTTTCCAGACTACTGGTGATCAGAGCACCCAGATTTCCGTGCCACAAGTGATCCCCAGCTTCGGGTTGGGCTTGTTATCCCTCCTGGTGGTGGGTCACCAAGCCCACCACTGCTGCCACGGGGCAGCCTCGGGAGAGACAAGGGAGAGACAAGGGAGTGGGTTTAGGACAAAGCAGTGCCTCATTACTGAGTTCGGAGGCACAGCCACGTGTCGGAGGGGATTTGCAGGCAGCGGCTTTGAGGAGCCCGCGGGGCTGCTTGCCGGGCTGGAGCTTTTGCTTCAACCTCAGGAGGCCCAAAGATGCAATGAAGGGTTTGGATTTCAGGGCCTGAAGTGGGGCAGAGTGTGTTTTAACTCTGTGTCCTCAGGAACGTGAGATCTTAGATGGATTAACGCCTTGTGCTGCCTGAGACAGTGGCACTGCAGGACGCAGGGGGTGGGGGACGGCACCGTCTCTCACTTGGCCGGGGTGTGATGGGAGCAGGAATGGGATGCGTGAGGAGCAGCTTGTGGCTCTGCTGCTCCTTATCACATCAGCTGGTGCGAATTAATGAGCTGGGGTGGGGGGAGCCACTGCACTCTCGCTCTTCCCCCCCAGATTAGGCTGAGATCCCAATCCTGGCAGAGTTCTTATAAATTGCAGAAATGCCTGGGCTGGTGACAAGGGGGAGCACGGGGATGACAGGAGGTGTGTGGGGTGGGGTTGTTGGGAGGTCAGAGGGACATGGAGGACATAGAGGTGTCTTAGATGGTTACTCCCTCTTTTGGTGACCTGGCCTGGGATCTGTGGACCCGAGTGAAGCTGTCCTCCATGGCACCATGCTGGGCAGGGATGCTGGGATGGTTTCACCCTGTGCAAGATCCTCTGGTGCTGCTGGGTGTCCTCCCAGAGAACCTGGCACCACTGTGGCACTGCTGTGACATGGTGGCATCTGTGGTGTGGGGGGACACACTGGGGACAGGGAAGAGGCAGCTGTGATGAGGATGTGGGGGGGACACTACCTCCCCGGCTTGGTCTCCCTATCTGGGACCAGCTTGGGATGTGGGGGTGTGCTGGGATGAAATCTCCTCCATCTCCTTCCCACCTTCATGTATCCTCACTCACTCCCGACAGGTATCCAAGTCCCCCGCTGTGACAGAAGGTCCCGGGCACACATCCGTGTCTGGTGGGGGACACGTGGCCCCCATGGGGAAGGAAACCATCACCATCACCCTCCACAGAGCCAGCAACCTGCCGGCCACACGCGAGGGCCAGGTGCCGTGGCCGTACGTTGTTGTGTGAGTATCCAGCACCCGCCAAGGGGGGACAACAGGGACCATGGGGACACAGAGAAAGGGTTTGGGAGCTGCCACCCTCTTCACAAGCCCTAGGGAGGGGGGAACCTCTCTGGCATCACCTCTGTGAGATGCAGGGAGACGAACCAGGACTCCTCGCTGCAATGGGGGAAGGCAGGCACGAGGCACTTGGGCTTGCTGGGGTGTCAGGAAGAAAGTGTTCCTAATATTGAAAGTATAAAATGATGTCAAAGAATCCACAGGGTAATGCTGCCTGGGTTTGGGAATGATATCACAATAAATAAAATAGTGTTTTAATAAATAAAACAGGATGTTGGGTAAGGAGGACTTGGCTCCTCGTGCATTATGCATGTGCCAGGGGACTCAATTAGCTGGTCAGGCTTTGGTCTGTGGTAAGAGGGAGGCCGCCCTGCTCGGCACTGCCATCCCAGAGGCAGAGGGGCTTCTCTTCCCTGGAAAAGAGAGGAGAAAGCAGCTGTCAGTGCCTTCAGAGCATCATCTGGCTGCAGAGCTTGGTTTTTCCAGGGCATCTCCCGGGGGCAGTGCTGGGCAGGCTGGTACCCAAATGCATCCATCAGTGCCAAGGGAACAAGGCTGCAGGGTTGGGGCTCATCCACTGGGAACAATCAGCAGCCAGGATTGTGAAAGCCTGGAAACATCTCGTGTCAAGCAAACTGTTGCTTGCTGGGTGTTTTCCAGAGTAGAAACCCTGTTCTCTGTGGTGAAGGGGGTCCCAGGGTCTGTCACTGGGACAGAGTGAGCCAGGAGCCTCCAGTGCCAGCCCTCTATCACCCCATCCCCTCTTCCCCAACCCCCCCATGCCAAGGACCCGCTCTCCGCCCCGACAGCCTGAGTAACTCTGCGGCAGGAGTTGTCTCTATTTCCATAAACCAATTATACCCAGATGATCTCCGGAGATTTAAACATCAATATCCTAAATGATAGCACGAGGGTGGCGTGTGATTGTTGCATCTCTCTTTACATTCTGGTGCTGCTCCATCACCGCATTGCCATGGTAACAGGAGAGTGATGGAAGGGAGGGGAGGGGGGTATTAGGGATGCAGGACACATGAGGGGCCTTTTAGTAACCATAGTGAGGGAGCCAAGGCAGAAGGGAATCACTGATTGTTTTTCAGGGCACTTGCTTTTTAAGGAGAGTAGCATGTTGCAGTTAAAAGGTGGGGTTTTATGGACGGGAGGGAGAAATGGGAAGGGGATGTGCTGGTGGGGGGTCTGGTGGCATCCAATCCCCCAAAACCAGCCGGGTGGTAACCAGTGGAGCCATCCCAAGCTCAAAGCGCCGGCACACAGAGCATCACCCCACAAAAGGACACGATCCAAGTGGGATGGGAGGGAGGGAGCAGCACCGCTGCCCTCTGTGGCTGTGCCCAGTCGCTTGTGCCTGGACTCAGCATCCCGCAGCGCTCCGCAGTTGTGTGCATCACTTCCAGAGATCTGGGGAGGGACAGGTTTAGCACAGCGAGCCTGAAAGACCTTGAGGAGCAGGAGATCCCAGACAGGGGCTTTGGCTCAACCTGCCCCAGAAAAAGCCTCGTCCTCTGCGGATGCTCTGGGGATCGGGCGGCACCTTGGCTCTGCTCCTCACCCTCTGAACACCCAGAAAATCCTCCCTCCCTGCTTTCAGGGGCACCGGTGGGTTTGTTCCGCATCTTCCTTTCAGTCCCTCGTGCTCACAGATAAATTGCTGCCGGACCGGCAGGATGCAGGGATGACCTTGGCGTGCCGGAGCCAGGCGTGTTTGCAATTAACGGCACAAAGCGCCCGGCCCCGGCCGGCTTCTCCTCTCCGCTGAGTACCACGGGCGGGTGAAAGGACCTCCTCGCTCACTCCTCTCTGCTCTTCAGCGCCCACAGAAGCAACTCAAGGTCGCTGCTGAATGCACCAGCTGCTCCCAGGCTGGGGGAGGGGGTCTCCGCTGTCCCCCTGCCCGTGGGTTCACCCCACGGTGAAGGCAGCGGTCCAGGTCCTGGTGCCAGGGGATATTCTCAGAAACGGTGTTCCTGCAAAGTAAAACCTTTTGTTCTGGCCAAAATGAAACCGGGGACTCAGCTGATAAACCCAGAGTACGGGGCGGGGGGGGTGGTGCAGGGTGTGAGATCAAGCGCTCCCTCCTTGCCGCAGCATCCCGGTGGGATGAAGATGGAACATCCCAGGCTTAGAAGATCGGGAGGAATCTAACAACTGGGATATAAGCCCCGCGAAATAGCTCACCCTGTAGAGATAATAACTTATAACACCGGATAAATAAACATTCTGAAGGCTGGGCACAGCCCTGCCGAGCCCTTTGCTGGGCACCCTGGTGTCACAGCAGCGGGGTGGCTGCGTGCTGCCGTCTCCGAGCACCGCAGCCGAGACGTTGATGGGTAATAACTCCCTGGGGGCGGCCGTCTTTATCTTTTATCTTTATCTTTTATCGCAGCGGTGGGCGGATGGTGCATCCCCACACGCACGGCAGAGCCAAGTGCCTGCCCCGGAGCCGGCAGGGAGGGATGCGGAGCATCGGAAGAGCAGCTCTTGGTGCATCCCAGCCGTGTCCTGCCCTGAGGTGTGCGATCTCATGTCTGCAGACCCCGCTCCTGCCCCTCCAGTGCGTCTGGAGCTCGCTGGGGGGAGGAGAAAATATGAAACCCTCTGTGCTCTCCGCCGTTCCCGCTGCCCCCGGCCTATTCATTTGGTTTTTGAGGCACACCCCTGTGCTTTGCACAACTGTGGGCTGTTTTCCTCCCCCTCCCCACTTCACAGCTCTTTTTGAATGCTCTCCCGTCCTTAGGCAAGTCTATAATGAGGGGGGGGCCGGTTCTCACCCTCCTGCTCGTCCTCCCACCCCCCCAACCCCCCAGCCAAGGTTTGGCTTCATTCGGACTCCGAGCACGTTGCTGGGAGAGCAATCCCCCACAGAGCTCATTACTGGAGAGCCAAGTTTTTTCCGGCCCCTCCTCAACAGTGCCAGCCTGACGGCAATTCCCACCTCCCAAAGCTGGCCAGCTCCATCCCTGTGGGGTGCAGATGGGCTTTGCTGGTGGGGAGTGGGGACACGTGGGAGATGAGAAACGAGCACGGGATGTGGATGCAGCGTGGCTGAGGGCCCACTAGACCAGTCTCTTCAGCAAGGAGAGGGAATGGAGGTCTTGCAACCATCCTCCCATCCATCTGGGATGAACCTGCTCGGTCCCACCAGGAGCTCCAGGAAGAGCTTTCCTTGGAGGAGCCAGCACCAGGCACTTCATCACCGTAATATCCAGAGCAAACCGTTCAGAGGGCTGGGATATCTGTGTCACAATGGGATGTCACCATCCCCTTTCACCCCATGGGTGGGGATGCAGGGACTTGAGGTCACCACGTCGCCAGCCAGTGGGACTCTGCTGGTTTTGGGACTCCCAGGATAACGCCAAGTGTCTCACTGGGGCAGTGGAGACCCTCCAAAATATCTTCCAGCCCCACAAAAAGTGTGTGTGGATTATTATAATTATCCAAGCTAATGAGTAATTGATGATTAATTGATAAAAGTGGGAGGAACAACCCCAAAACATCCCTGATGGTGACACCAGCACAGATGAAGAATTACCCAGGTCTGTAGCAGTGAACACAACCATAATTATTGCTCAGCATTGTTATGTGCCGAGCCTAATGATGACAGTCGTTAACATTCAATCTTCTCTCTCTTTTCCCAGCAGCATCCTCCCTGTCCCTTCATCAATACTGTGGATAATTAGCCTCCGGGGTCTAAAATAGCCTTTCGGACAAAAGGGGCTGCAAACCCCATCACCTGGGGGCTCGGCAGGATCCAGGAGTGAAAGCGGCACAGAATCCCCGGCAAAGCCCCCCCAGAGCAGGGGCAGAGCTTTGCTGAGGGCTGGATGCTGCACCGAGCAGGGCTGGTGCTCATCCCTCTCCCAGCTCCCTGCCACCGCATTCCCCACCTGTTTTCCTCCCTTTTTCCTGCAGTAAGACCAGTGGAGGGGCTGAGCAGAAGCCAGAGGCATCCCGTGCATCCTCAGCGCCCACCCACGCACCCACCTGGGAGGAGGAGGTGATGGTGGAAATGGATGCCGAGGATGCAGGCTGGGCAGGTGAGGGCATTGGAGGTCCATGGGGACAGGGATGCTGGGGACCAGGACATGGGACTCATTCCTCAAAGGGTTAATTTGGCGATATCAGGGAGTCCAGGCTCTGCAGGACCCCAGGCAGAGGGAACGAGCCTTGTCCTGAGCTCATGGCTGTGGTGCCTGCAGGGTAGGACCAGGAGGGACATGCCCAGGGTGAAACAAGTGATGACGCTCCGGGCAGCCTCCAAAGTATCCAACGGGAATCAGCATCAGAGGGAAAACATCCCAAATCTTTCCCCACTGCCACCCCTCACCTTTTATCATTTGGAGCCACATCCTGATGCTGTTACTCCCCACGCAGGGCTGCTAAATCTGTAACTGTGATAAAACTCATGGAATTAGGGGCCAGGATTTGATTATAAAATCAGCTCCTTACAAAACAAACACTGGGAACCAATCTTCACATCGTGCCTAATCCCTTTAGGCCCTGACCTCAACTAAATTGAGGAGATTTTGATGTACTTTTTGCCCCGTGCGGGATCATAAGAAATTCAGGGAGACCCGATGGGACCTCCGAGTCTGCTCCTCCACCTCCCAGCACCTCCAGATGTTTGGCCATGTTCATCCCCCAGATGTTCATCCTAGAGCTGACATCCCCAGGTGCAGCTCGCAGCTTTTCTTCCCCAGCAATACAGTTTCCATCCTTTTATTTCCCAGAAATCCGAGTGTTATCCATCATTGGTGATGACAGGCAGAAAAGCCACTTGTGTCTTGCTCAACCCCAGAACATTTTCTCCGGTGCTTCTTCCACGAGGAGCTGGGAGAAAAGGAAAATTTCCATATAAATGGAGCACTTGCTGTAAAGCACAAGCTCAGGAAAGCGTGGACCTTGCTGCCTTCACCTTCGTTTTGGGGACGGGCACAACCTGTGGCATTTTCAGGCTGGCCAAGCAGGAGTTAAGGCGGGTGCCTCGGCACAGTCATTAAGCTGGGGGAAGGGAGGCCCAACTCTTGATGGCAGCATAAAGAGAGGGCGGTTTTCCCTTCCATCAGCTCCTTTTTGCTTTTTTTTTTTTTTTCCCCATAAAAGGCTCCTACTCCTGCTTGTCAAATAAATTGCAGCTTTGCTCTAATTTAAGGGAAGAACTGGGGGTGCCAGAATCCGTGGGGTGATGCTGCTGTGCCAGGGGGCAGATAGGGAATAGACATCACTGACAGGACTGATTTCAGGGTGGACCCTGGGGCAGGGAGGGCTCAGGGCAGGATGGAACCCTGGAAGCTGTGCAGGGCAGGCTGGAGGCAGGGAGGTGGATTAGATGGATCAGTAGGAAATCCTGGATTCTTAGATGGGAATCTGAGCTGCGTTGGTGCCAGCTTATGTGTTTATTATCCCAGTCTGGGTGTAAAGCCTGCTCCTGTCCACCCTGGCCTTGTGAAGGGAAGGGCCTGCTGAAAATTAACCTGTCCATAGTCTCTGTCCCTTCCTCACCCAGATCTTTCCCCAAATCTCTCCCCCAAGCCCCTCCTCTTTCCCAAACCCTGCTCATCCTGACAGCTGACCCTCTCCCTTCCAGTGCTGACCCTCACTGTGGCAGACAAACCTACCAAGGAGGCACTGGGGACATTCCAGCTGCCAGTCCGGCATCTCCAGCCCTTCCAACCCCACCACTGCAGGCTGGTGCTGGTAGGTACAGCATGAGCCCCTCCGTCCTGCTCCTTATTCCTGCTTACAGTTTGATTTTCACCACCTGTGGCTGGGGCCTGTGGGCAAAGGGAGCCTTGTGTAATGCCATAATACCGGTGGGAAAACCGCATTTGGCACGTCGGGGAAGGTGCTCAAAGAGGCTTGTGAGCTTCCTGCGAAGGGGGGAACAAGGCAAGCGTTGTGCTGGGCTCAGATGTGGTGGAAAAGTGACGGGATTGCAAGCTGGGAAGTGCTTTCACCCTCGGGATCCTGGGAAGGAGATGCAGGGCGGGACATTCATGAAACATGGGCTGCAGTGCATTAATTCATGCAGGCAGGTACCCAGCCCCAGAGAAGCAGCTTCCTGAACCCCTCCACGGGCATTTCTCCAACCCAGGGACTTGGCCAGCAGTGCCCTGTACAGCTGAGGCCTGGTAAACTCATTCCACTACTCCCCGAAAATCAAACTCCCCTATGCTCAGGCTGGCAGAAACGAGCTTAGAATCATAGCTTACCCTTCCCCACATAGATTGGGAACGATGAAATATTTAAACACAGAGGATTTATTATATTGATCTTTTCCGGGAAGGCCCAGGGGGCCAGTGAGCTTTAATTACCAGTTGGTGCTTTATTGCCAGCCATGGGCTGTCTGTGCCCAGTGTCTGCATTCTGTGGCCTTCATCTTTCTCTTCCCACGCTTTGCTCCCCTCCACACACAGCCAAGGAGGCAGGACTCTGTGGGAATGGTCCTGCACGTCACCATCACCCGCAAAAAGAGCTTCATCCCTCGCTGTGACGGACTTGGCTATGTGGCCTTGGAGGTGAGAGGTGGCCTTGGGGACAGGGGGTGGCGGGGAGCTGTGCAGGGGCTGGGATGCTGCTGCACCTTGCCTCCTGCTATGGCAGCTCTTTCCCCTCCCCACATTCTCTGGTCCCCTCACCACGGACCCTCAACCTCCCAGGTGCTGCTTCGGGGGTTGTCAGCCCCCCTGACCACCCTCCCCAGGACCCTCGTTGCCGTGGCCAGAGTTGTGACCAATGTCCAGGAGTACAAGTGAGTGATGGCTGGGAATCTGCGGGTGACACAGGGGGGACAACCTGAGCATCCCTGATGCCATCGCGCCCTCCCACTGGCGCTTGGCTCGATGGGGCAGATGTGGCCCCACACACCCTGACCTTTCCATCACTCCTCAGGCACCGCATGGAGAAGCATCCCATCCCTCATCCCAGCATCAGCCCCACCACCATCCTGTTCCCAGACCCTCCAGCAGCCGCCTTTAGCATCACCCGAGCTGCCAACCACGGCTGCCCTCAGGTACGAGGTCGAGCAGTGCCCATCCCGCCCGGGTACCAATGAGCACCCCTCCTTCAGCAGGGGAGCTGAGCACCCCACGCAGGAAAAGCTTCAGGGGCAAAACAGTGCCTTGAGCATCAGACACTGGTCCTCACATCCTGAAACCCACAGGCAGCTCCTCGTCTGTGCCTTTGTCCTTCGTTTTTTCCCTCCACTCGGCTCACGCCTCCGGCTCGAGTGCCGCCTCTCGAAGGCAGCGACCTTCTCCTCCCCGGGCCTCAAGTACCGCGACGCACATCTTCAAAATAGCTGTTGCCAGGGAAACATCCCCTTTCCACACACAGCGTCATCATTGGCGAGCGAGGGGAGGGCCCCGCTTTTGTTCCCGAGCCCTGCCAAAAAACTGGCAAGGAGGGAGGGATGCTGGGGCAGGGAGGAGGCGGGATGGAGCAGCCGAGCCAGGAGCCAGCTTGTAGCCTGCCACTCCTCAGAAGCAGAGCTGCTCCATCCTTTCACCTCTGCAAAGTGCCAGCCGAGGGCAGATGTCCGGCTGCACCCAGAGGACGGATCCAGCTGGCCCCCAATGCCAGCGGAGCGCGCGCCTTTCTCTGGCTCGATCCTCCTCCCCCGTGCATGGAATTTTGATCTGCTCGGAGCGAAACGCCCTGGATCAACACATTCGGGGAGCCCATAAATAAAATATCATGGAGAGGAGGCCGGCCAAATGCCAAGTCGCCCGTGAGGCGCTGAATTATCATGAAAATCAATAGTGTGTTTCATTCAGTACAATAATTATTGGTTTATCCCTCCCCTCTCCCCTCTGCCTCCCTGGGTTCCTCTTGCAGGTGAGAGATGGAGGCAGCACTGGGACCCTCCACTTTGGGTCTGCATCCCCAGCCCCACCATGGCAATGGATTCAGGCTATGAGTCACCCCCATCAACTCCAGAGCAGATACAGGAAGGAAATCCCTGTTTGCTACCCAAAATACCTTCTCTCTCCAATCTTTGCAATCATGAGGCTGCCATTTCCCAGGGATATGTCTCTCTTGTAAAGGCAGCCAAAATAAATTTATTTTGAATTTACAGGGATAACTACAAACACAGCCCCCCATAAAGTTGTGGGATCTATGTGCTGGGTCCGAGCCCCACATCCCTGGCATTGCTGCCAGCCCAAGCGGTGGGAGCCCAACATGGGAGGACGAGTGATTAAACCTGGCCATCTGGCCTGTGTGCTGCCTCCTCCTCCTCCTTCTCGTCCTCCTCATTCTCCTCCTTCCCTCCGTGCCCACAGGGCTCAGTCTGCCTTGGCACATCCCCAAGGATGCTCTTCCTGGGGAGCTGCATGACCCCCATCTCCTGCCTCAGTTTCCCCACCTGTAGGATGTGCTTCTCTCACGGGAGGATGAACTCTTAAGGCCTGGGAGGAAATGTTAGGGGAAGGCTGGGGGGAGGAGGAGGAGAAGGAGGAGGAGGAGGGAGCATTGTTGCTCCAGTTCCAGAGGTTAATGGCTTTCCCTGAGTGAACTCCTGGGCAGGCTAATCGGATTCGATAATTCTGCCAGCCCTGTGTGTCCTCTCGCCTGTCGGTTCCCATCAGCGTCTGCAGCCAACAGCACTTGGGTTCACCTTCAGCAGGGCACCTCTCTCACTCCTTTTGGGTTCTCAGGTCACTAGCCCTTCTCTGCCTGGCCAGGGCTCCTGGAGACTTGGTCTTCCTGGCCAGGACTCAGCTGAGACCTGCACAGAGCCACCTGTAGGACTGTTGGGTGCTCTGCTGTCCCTGGGTGCTCCCATTGGGCCAACATCCTCTTTGTCACCAACGGGATTGCCACACTGGTGGCAATGGCAAATCCATGGGGCCTCCTACAGGAAGCCACGCTGTGTCTGTCCTCCCAGGCCCAAGCTCAAGCCTTTATGATGTTGGTCCCCTCTAAGATAAACCTCCTTTGGGGCTATTTTCCTTGGGAATTCTCCAGCTTAACCTACCCATCTGGAGCTTCTCACTCTTGTCTGTGGACTGCAGCATCCAGACAGGCATCTGTGAGGAGCAGGGACAGCCTCATCCCTTGGGAAGGCAGGAGAGAGTCTGTAGGCTTGGCCACCTCTACCTCTGCTCGTGCCAACGATGCTGCCTTTGAACCAGCCATTGGGAGAAGAGCTGGGGCAGCCAGAAAGGATGAAGGTGTCTCCTTCCTCCTCCTCTACATCCCCTTTGTTGTGTTTCTGCAGGTGGCCCTTTGGCAGGGGTGGTTGTTGTGGCAGGATGTCTGCCCAAATCAGTGCATTGGCTCTGATGCCCCGGCACAGAGCATCCATCTGTCCCACCGAGCCGGTGGGAGACAGCCTGGCCCCAGCAAGCACCCTGCCCCCTGCCCCCACCTCTAAAATTGGCAGGGGGGGAAGTCAGGAACGTCATCTCCCATCCCTCTCCTGGTGAGAGGAGCCATGTGGGCTCAGGACCTCCAACAATTGGGGTCAAATTAGCAATATGCTCCCACATTTGACTTTTCCCTTCCCTGCTGAGGCTGAAACGGCACCATCTCCAGTGCCTTGTACAGGTCGATAACAGAAAGAGTAACTGGCATTTTGTGGTTTTGAGCTTTTCCCCCAAAACTGGGCTCTCTGAGGCTGATGAAACAGCCCTGTGGGCTGGGAAAGGAGAGGAGTGGCCGCAGGGTGCTGAGCTGGATCCAGCTGCTGTGAGCTGCTCCAATCCGTGTGCATTTTCCTAAGGACTTCCAGGCACAGCCTGTGCTCCCAGCAGCCAAACCAAGCTGTGTCCCAGCTAAAAAATCCCCAAGGAGCCTCTGACAAATTCCTGAATGAGAGAGCCAGCCTGGTGCTGAGCCAGCACTAACAGCACTGCCTGATGCAGCCCGCCGTGGAGGATTTTTCAGGCTCTGAAGCATCCCAACCCCACATTCCCCATGCTAACACCTCCCAAGGCTGGATAATGCACCTCTGCGGCTCTCCGAGGTGCATAATGCCCATTAGCATCCCAAAACGTGAGCAGAGGGAGATGCCCCGCTCTCCCACCCTCCCCAACAAAGCAGAAATGTGCTGATGCAGAAAAAGCCGATCAGCATCTCATTCCCGCTGGGCGATGCTGGCTGAAGGGATGGAGTAACAGCATTAAAAAGGAGCTGCTGTCAATAAATTCTTGGCGTTGGGGAGTCAGTGCTAAGGTTGACCTTTGGAAAGCTGGCGGGGCTCTCCGGAGGCGAAGTGGAGTGGCTGCCAGTGGGGACGGCGTGATGCCATTTCCAACGATGGATGGCATATCCCCAGCTCTAAGGATAAACATGCTGCTCCCCACTATTCCCTATCTGTCGGGTGAGCCTGGAATTCATGTTTGGGAAGGGGTTTTGAGGTGACAGACAGATGCTGAACACCTGCAAAGCAACCCCTTTCCAAGTGTGAGTGCTGTGTTCCCCCCCAAATATCGAATTTCCTGTTGTCCCTTAAGATATCCCGACCAGCCGGTCCCCAGGAGCAGCCATCCTGGAATGCCTCCTTCCTTTTCCAAGGCCAAGATGCTGCCACCATCTTCTCCGAAGACACCGCTCTGACAATTGAGTTCTATCCATACAAAGCCGGTGAGTCTCGGGCCCTGCCAGGGATGCCTCTCTGTCATCCCAGGTTTGGCTGCCATGCCCTCATCCAGCTGTTCTCATCCCTTCCAGTGTGGGATGCTCCGGGCACCCTCATTCCTGTGGGATACTCGGTGCTGCCCCTCACCAGCCGTGTTTTCCAGGAGCTGGCGGCGTGCAGCGGTGGAATGCACGTGGAGGGCCTCGCTGTGGAGGTGAGAAAGGGACCGTGGGGTAACACTGGGCAGGGGGTGGTATCTACAGGTGATGGATGGTGGGATGGAAACCCCACCTCTGTGTCTGGGTGAGCAGCCTAGCAACAAAACACCCAAGCATCCCATGGGAAGCCCGGAGCTCTGCTCCAAACCACAGTCCTGCACCTCTGGACAACACCTGGATGATGCCAAAGCCACTGAGAGCTCCAGTGGAAACCCAATTTGCCTCCCCAGGGCACCGATCTCCAAACCACAGCTGGAACCATCCCAACCGTGGGGCTCTGCCTGCAGCTCCTTCGATTTGAGGTGAGATGCTGGGGATGGAAAATCCCGAGGTGAGGAGGGATGGGGACAGGGGATGGGGAGGAGATGGCTCTTTAGAGCTGCCACCCCCTCTCCAAACCTTTCAGCTGGGCTGGATCTGGGTTTCATCCCTTTTTCATGTTGTCCCAAGGCTCTGGATCATGTCATCAGGTAGCTAGAAAAAGCAGCGTCGTTCTTGCCGTCACACATCCATTGCTTTCCCAGGGATTTTGTCACATGCTCGTATTCCCGGGAAATCCTGCCTGGAGACAGGGTACAGGCAGGGTATTTGGGAGAGGCTGCTCACCATGTCAGAGTGGAGAAATGCCAGGCTGGTTAACCATGGTGACAAATGTCCAGCTGTCTTCCTTCAGCATTCGTGTTCCCCAGGGATGTCACAGCAGGGAGGGAATGCGGCTGCTTTTCCTGGGGAGGAGGAAACCCCGCCAGCCCTTGGCTCCAGGTCCTTGGGCAGGTTTGGATGTGTCCACGAGCCCAATCGATCTAATTACTGCAGCCACCAGCCTCTGCTCCCATCTGCAAACCAAAAATCCTCTCCATAAAGTGAATTTGGGTCCGGTCTGGATGCTGCATCCCTGAGGAGCCGCGGCGGGCAGGGGCTGGCTGGTGGGGGGCTTTGGAGTGATTGCCCAGGGGGGTCAGCAAAAAGGGGTCTGCGTGTGATGAATTATTCACATGGGTGTCACTAAGTGCAGAATTAATCCTTTTGCTTCCAGCTGGCTGCTGCACTAAATTATCACTCGCAGTCATGCGGGAAAATGCTGCAGAATTCATTTAGCTGATTATTGTTTTGATCTGGGAGCTGTAATTTTTTTTTCTCCTCTTCCTCAACCTCTCCCATTCCGCTGCTCCAGCCCTGCCTTCCCTAATGTATGTAAGAGCTGGGAGTGGAAACAAAAAGCAAGAAAGCCACAGCAAGCCTTAGGCTCTGGATAATTCATCCGGCAGCGGCCCAGGCAGATGGACCCGGAGCGATGCAAATCAGTGAGCGAGTTCCTACCGAGCAGGGTGAGGGCATGTTCTGCTCCTTGTTTCTTGCCTGGAGGTCAGGATTTTCTTAGGAAAATGCTCCAGTCTGGCTGGCTGTGATCCTCAGCACCCCAAAACCAGCAGGTAGGGGAGGTGTTGCCTCATCTGCAAGGGCAGAGACTCTCCTGCTTTGGGCAGCCCTGGGCTCCAAGGGAAGCTTGAAGGCTTGATTTCCAGCCTCTCAGCTCATGGATTAGTCTTGAGCTTGGCTTTGGGACAGCAATAAGGGGCCAAATGGGAGCCAGGTGGCACAGACAGCCAATACAGGACTTGGGTGAACCTGGTGATGCACTGGGCCTTTGTACCGGAATGTCCTTGAGGTGCGAGGAACCACAGAATCCCTGCCATGGTATTGCTGTCCATCCTCGGGGTACAAGGAGCTGCAGCATCCCTGTCCATCCTTGGAGTGTGAGCAGCCATGGTATGGACGCCCATCCTCGGGGTACAAGGAGCTGCAGCATCCCTGTCCATCCTTCTCCATGATTTCTCACCCCACCTCTCTCCCTGCAGCTGATGGCAAAGCAGAACACTCACTGAGCTCGTCTCCTTTCCTTTCTTATTTTTCATTTATCCCAGAGAGCTGAAAATGGATAACCCAGATTGGTTGGGCTCTTTATAACAAACAGCAGCTAAATAAACCCGAGGTGCCATCTGGTACCCGGCACACTCGGAGCCGGGTGTAAATCCCGGCTGTTCTGTGGCCTCTGCAGGGATTTCACCAACTCCTACCAGGGTTCTAAATGCCCAGAGCTTGGTTTCAGATGCTCACATCAACCCTCTGTGCTGGGAAAGTGTCCTCGGTGACAGGGTTTTCCAGGGATAAGGGGCTATCCTCAAACTAAACTCATACCCTGTCTCAAAACTCTGCTACGCTTGTAAAAGCAACAGGGAAAGGGTTTGGAGCACCTGCTTTGTTAAAAGCCAAGAACCCCAACACCAGGAATGAGAAAACAGCGGTGTTATCCCAGGGAAAGGGCAGTGCTGGGTTGCAGCCTCCTGGTAAAGGCACTGAGACCCCCAGGTTTGCTCCCACCCGGCCCTGTTCCCCTCCATCTTCATCCCCTCGAGCTCCCTCTCTGGACCCCACAGGAGAACAAAAGACTTTGATCATCTCAGGGAGACAAAAAAAATCAAAGACTGCAGCAAAACGCTGGTGCTTTAGCAAATTAACCTTTGGCGTTCAAAAAAACCCAGGTTTTCCAGGATTTTTTTTTCCCTGGGGGAAAGCCTGCAGCCAACTTCCTCCGCCTCGGTACTGGCTCAGGGCTAAAGGCAGGACTCCTGTTTTACCTTCACTCCAAATATTCCTTTTTCACCCCAAATTTAGTGTCTTGCCCAAAAGAGATGAGTTTGACCTCACAGTAGCCAGTGGTAAAGCCACGTGTAGGGTCAGCAGGATGCATTCCCAAGTGACTCTGAGCCTCATCCAAGGGCTGGAAAACACACACTGGAGGCATCTGTATTAATAAGGGATTTATTTATATCCCTGTTTAATAACCAGCTTCGTTTGACACTTTGTTTTGGCACAACCCTATCTTGCTCAGCCCATTAATTTGGCACTTGGGACCTTCAGGGTCACCTCAAGCCTCTGTCACCACTTTGCTGAGCGCCCATGGTCACATCACCCGAGATGGGAGTCTGGGGACATGCAGGCACATGGTGACAGCCTCTGAAAAAAAAAAAAAAAAACAGTGAAAAGCTAGTGCCAGGGTTTTTTCCAGGCAAGGGAAAAAAAAAAATCAACAGGCTGGTTATTTCACTGCTTAAACAGCTTTAATTTATGTGATTGCTGCTGTTCCAAACCCGGAGCAGATCGGTGCCTGGCGTAAATTGTCACAGCGCCGGGGTGTAAATTGTCACTGTGCCAGCCTGGCCATCAAACCCCTTTTGGGCTGGCCAAAAGAAAAAGGGTTTACAATTGGCTGTGGAATAGGGAATCGCTATGTGCTTCCTGATATTTCAGCCTGGTTTGTACTCCTCGAGCACCGGAATTGGGATTTTTCACGCTGGTGAAAAGTTTGTTTTGGGGGAATCATAAAATCATGGAAGAGTTTGGGTTGGAAGGGACCTCAAAGATCACCCAGTTCCACCCCGTACCATGGGCAGGGACACCTTCCACTATCCCAGGTTGCTCCAAGCTCCATCAAACATGGCCTTGAACACATCCAGGGATGGGGCAGCCACAGCTTCTCCAGGCAACCTGTGCCAGGGCCTCACCACCCTCACAGGGAAGAATTTCTTCCTAATGTATTTTTTTTTATCCCTGATAAAAATTATATTCGGCCCTTCCCTGCTGAGCATCCTTTCTCGGTGAGCCGGTGAGGCCCCCGAGGTCTTCTGGCACAGCCAAACTGCTGTCAGCTGCTGATTGGCACTTGCCAGTCAAACGCATGCCCCATTCCTCTCACTGTATGGAGGATTACAAGAGGCGTAATCTCGGCCAGGAAGAGCCAAACCGAGCAGGGAATGTCTTTGTTAAAGGGAATGGGTTGGTTTTCGCCGCCGGTCCCGGGGGAGCGTTCAGGGCAGCGCTAATTGAATTAAGAGCACGTTCGCCCGGGCTTCGACGGGCCACGGTGGCCGCGGCCATCGCTCCGGAGCGGCGGCAGCAGCTGCTCGCCGGCCTCCGTAATTGCAGCCAGAGCCTAAACTGTTGCATTTTGCATGATGCTGCTCCCCCGGGAAGGGGGAGAGTGGTGGGGCGGGGGGCGGCTTCACCCGGCTTTGATGCTGGAGGAGCTCGGCTGAGGTCGGGGCCGGCGGCGGAATGAAAGGCGGCGGCTCGGGGGATGCTGCTGCTGATGGTGTTAATGAGGAAGCGGCGGGGAAGGGCACGGGGCGCCTCCGGACACCTCCTGCTGCAGGGGGGGAGATGCGCCCGCCCTCGTTATCCGCACTAACGAGGCGAGGCCGGGCGCAGGCACGGAGGAAAACCCAGAGAGGGCCACTTTGCCGTTGCCCATGCCTGTGGCCAATTTGGAGAGGGCATCCAGGCTGATTGCTCAGCCGAGGGAGCCAGGAGAGCAGCTGGAAGGTGGGGAGCGAGGATTTTCCGGGTGGGTGCAGGGATACCATGCCTTGATGCACGAATCCCAGGGCCGAGGCAGGTCCTCATCGCCCTGGGAGCCAGGACTGGGCAAAGCTCCCTGTCTGTGACCTTGCCATTCAGGTGGCAGTGAGGAGCACATGGACTCCATCGTTTATTCCATTAGATCCTGCTTCCCCCTCTAACTGGATTAGAGGGGAGTCTATAAAAGCCAGGCTGGCGGGAGGAGAGCAGGACGCGCAGAGCCGGGAGTGGGAAATGAGGGGCAGGGAAATCACATTACTGCTGCCAGCAGCATCTGGCAGGGCTCTGGCAGGGATTGCTGGTGTGCTGGAGGGGCTTATCCAGCAGGCATCAAAGGTGGGGGTGGCAGCAGGTGGCAGAGTGGTTTGGAACATCCCATTGCACCTGCAGGACCTGGATACCCACCTCCTGCCCACCTGAAGGCTGAGGATGGGCATGGAGCTGCTCTTTCCACCACCACAGGCACAGAACGGCCTCCTTCCCCTCCTTGTCACCTTGTCGCCTCAGGGATCCCCTCTCTGCCCAAAGCTCCCCTTGCGACTTCCTTTTGGCAGACCCACAGCTCTTCCCCATCACTCCAGTGGCATTCTGGGGATGTGGATGGGGGAGAGGGGACATGCAGTGGATGCAGATCAGCCCAGTTGCCCCCTCCTCGGCCCTGTCACCGCATCCATCCATCCCACAGACCATTGCCTCTCCTCTCCAGAGACCAGCAGCATTCCTGACCCCATCAGGCGGCGATGCCCTCCCCAGCCTGGACCCTGCCACCCTCAGCACCCTCGAGAGCAGCGAGGAGCCACAGGTGACCCCCCTGTACCCACTTCATGGCCAGGTAAGGACCCACGAGGGCATCCAGAGTTGCTATGCCAGCACCCTGCCCCTGGCATCCAGCCTCCACCATCCTCATAACGGTGAAAAACCAACAGAAATCCCAATTTTTAATCTCTCTTCCAATGTATGTGTTGCTGGGAGTGGCTGGTTTTATCTCCAGCCTGGCTGCAGCAGTAATTTCTCGTGTTGTGCGGAGCATCCCTGGGCTGTTTCAGCGTGGCACAGGGTCTGGAGAGGGGACATCATCCCATCACCTTGCTGGGGGCAGTACTTCAATGCACCAGCTTCGATCTAATCGCTCAATCCCAAATTCATTTAGCAAATTCTCTCCTATTATCCATCCCTGCAGTATGTGGGAGAACCCAGGCACCTCCAGCTCATACCTTTCGGCTCCAGGAAAAAAATAAAAGCCAGCTGCTCTCCTCCTCCAGCCCTTTGTACTGACAAATGGAGCCCTTGGATGAATTTAAACCCGGCCCTCGTGATCCTAATATCTTCCTGTGCTTTAAGCCATCTGGCTTTTAAAATAACAGGTTGTTAAAGCCCAATTCTGCTTATTAAATAGCTGGGAGGGAAGGGGTGGAGGGGGCCCATTCTTTCCAAAACCCCACTTATTTCCCCATCAGTGGCTTCCCAGACCCCACCTTCAACCTGCGATTCGGGCAGCAAAGCAAGAAGAAAATTAGCAATAAAATAACCACCATAAAGAAAAAGAATAATACTACAGCAAAGCTATTTGTTTTTCCTCCAGCTGTTTTAATTCCTCCAATCCACTGAGCTTTATGACTTCCCTTTCCACGGCTTCTTTATGCCCAACCTAATAGAAACCCATAATGGGGCGTGCAGAGGCGGGTACCACAGCACAGCTTAAATGCCATCGGGGTGTGAGCTCCAGATTTGATGGATACAATTACCCCCGGGGGCTCTGGAGAAGCCCCAGCACCCTCCAGACCTGCACAGGATCCAGCCCGATGCTCCAAGCAGCCTCAAATTCAGCTTGCTTCATCCTCCCAAGAGCATCCCTGCGAGGATGGGTGGAAATTGATCTCAAGAATGCTTCCAGCATCCAATTTTAAAGCCCGAGTGGGGCAACAGGAGCCCAGAAATGTTTTTCACAAGGTCTGGGCAACCCTGCACGAGCATTTTCTCTTTTTCTGTCTAAAAACACATTGCTGGTAGGATTAATATTTTCCCCTCACACGCACAACCTTTGGCAGCCGTTTGCTTTCCTTTGCTTTTTTTTTTTTTTTTTTTCCTTCCCCCCTAAAGCACAAATTATTTTCACTTGGTTTGCACTGTGGCGCGGGGGATTTGCTTGGAAAACCCATCTCCTGACAGCCCCGGGAATCGGGGCTGACACCCTACTAATGGAGCGTGTGTGCGGGAGGGAGCCGGGACGTGACAGCCCCCCCGGCGGCGGGGTTTGGGGGGGCCGGGCTGGGGGGCGAGCACTCGGCTGATCACAGCCCTGTCACTTCTTCCCACTCCGCTCGGGCTGATCAAACCCGGATCCTCATCCCCGCCCTGCGGCTTTGGAGGTCCTGCTCTGGATCTGCTCGTTAATGCCTTCATTAAGAAGTGGGAAAACAAAGCGATGGGGGATATTATCGGGGACGGGGTAACCCTCCTGCTTTTCCACCTCCCACGGGGGTGGAAATCCTTTGTGCGGGGACATTAACATCCTCCCCTCCCCGGGCTTACCAAGTTTTCCTGCTGGACGAGCTCTCCGACCTTAGGCTGAGCCTTGTGCTGGGCTCAGCCTAACCGTGTTTTCCTACCCTCCTGCCCTCTCCCGGAATAGATTTGTGCCTCTCTTACCAGCTGATGAATAATTTACAAGCAGCACTTAACGATTAGGGGGGCGTTTTCTCCAGCCTCCTCAAACATTTGCTTCTCCTTCAAGCCTTTCTTTCTCCACTCCCATCACACATATTTCCCTGACCTGTCGACGCAGGGGGATTTACAAGCCACAGGGTCTCTTGTGAGAAGTAAATGTCGTATTTTTTTTTCCATGCTGGTGTTTTGTTCCCAGCATTGCAAGTGTTTTGTGGGCTCCATCTCATAAGACAAGAGCCCAGATGTGCAGATGGTCCCCAAAAATACCCCACAGAAGAGAAAGCCAGGGGATGGGAGGTCGATTTCTTCCTTCCCAGCAGCATCAGAGTCCCTTTGCTAGACCCATATCCAGTTTCTGTGTGATTTCCAAGGAATAGTGGGGGGGCTTTTGCACCTACTGAGCAGGGTCTGCTGCCTCAGCAAGCTGGGAGGGGACACCCAGCGTGGTGTGGTGCTGCTGGGCCCAGCTGAGAGGGGAAAATGGGATTCAAAGGATGAGGACTCTGCAAGGAAAAACGATGGTGCACAGTGAGAAGGTGCAGCAAGGGGAGAGGGTGGGGTGACAGTGCTGCAAGGGGTGAAGGTGCTGTGGGCCCAAGGGTGCTGGGAGGGGTGAGGAGACAGATGAGGATGCTGCAAGGAAAAAGGATGGTGCATGAGGAGAGGGAGCAGCAAGGTGTGAGGATGCTGCAAGGGGAGAGGGTTCTGTGAGGTGTGAGGGTGCTGCAAGGGGAGAGGGGGATTTGGGGGGTGCAGATGCTGCAAGGGAAAAGGCTGGTGCTTGGGGAGTGGGTGCTGCAAGGGATAAGGGACAAGGGTTCTGTAAAGGCAAAGGTGCTGTGAGGGGAGAGGGGAATAGGATAGATGAGGATGCTCCAAGGAAAGAGGACACAGGGAGAGGGTGCAGCAAGGTGTGAAGATGCTGAAAGGAGAGAGGGTGCAGCAAGGGGAGAGGGTGCTGTGGAGGGAAAGGGTAATGTGAGGGGAGAGGAGGATGTGAAGGATGAAGGGACTGTAAGGGTAAAGGACTGTGAACCCCATCACCCTGTGAGGGGAGAGGGTGCTGCAAGGGAAAAGGGTGCTGGAAAGGGAGAGGGTGCTGTGAGGGGTGAGGGGACAGAAGGGTGCAAAAGATGACAATGCTGCAAGGAAAAAGGATAATGCATAGGGAGAGGGTGCTGCAAGGGATGAAGATGCTGTGAGGACTGAGGGTGCTGTGAGAGAGGACTGAGGGGACACAGGGACGTGAAAAGTGAGAGTGCCGCAAGGGATGGTGCAAGAGGAGAAGGTGCTGTGAGGGGTGAGGGTGCTGCAGGGGTTGTAGATGCTGCAGAGGCTGAGGAAGCTGCGCGGGACGAAGATTCTGCAAGGCCGAGGGTGCTGAGGGCGCAGGCGGCCGCCGGCCCGTGCGAGGCTCCAGCCCCATCTAGCGACAGCTCCGCCGGTCCCGGCTCCCCACCGGGGAGGGGACAACCCTCCACCCCGGATACCGCTCCTCTGGAGCCGGGATGCAACAGGCTGGGATGGGGATGCCTCGCTTTGCCCCGCCCGGGGATGCTCGGAGATGTTTGCCGGACGCTGGGCACCCATGGGTGCCCCGGCACCCACGAACACGAGGCTCAGTGCGTGGCAGGCTGGTGGGTACGGGGAGGGGGGAATCCCCCAGCAGGATTAAACCAAGTAATGAAACAGGTCCATAAACGAGCTAATGTGACCCCAGAAGTCACCACCCTGGCACTGCCTCCGGGAACAGGGGCAGGGTAAAGGCATTTACAGAGGAAACCTGCCAGCCACCCCAAATCCTTCTGCAGTGTCACCACTGGGCTGGAGGAGAGTAAAAGCAATGGGAAAAGCTGTTTTATTGGGGAGAAGGCGGGATGGCAAGGAGGGGGACAGAGGAACGTGGCTTTTGGAGGGCAGCAGAGGGTGCTGGAGGCGCAGGAACCCAAGGGTCAAGGGCTGGAGGAGGCTGTGTGTGGGCCAAGGGGTTTGAAAATGATCCAGCTGCCACAGTTATGTTGCATGAGGGGTTTTTTGGTGATCCAGGCTCTGGGCAAAGGTGGGAAAACAGGGGGGCTTTGCATGGGCTTCTCCTGCTTGGGTCTGGGTGGCTGAGGGTTTAGCTGTGTGGGGTGGGGACTGGGGACACCAGCACTGAGCCAGAGCATGGAAGAAGAGAAAACTGTCTCCAAAACACATTTTTATGTGTTTGGGGATGCTTGCATTGGAATGTGTGGGCCCATCTGTGTCCTGCTCCAACACAGCCCAGCAGTGCTACTAAACCCTCAGTGAACGTGGCACAGAGGGACTCATCCATCCTTGTTTAGGGACTGGATCAGCCTTTCTTGGTCCTAGGAAAAGTTATCCCACCTGTTCCTAGCTGCATATCTTTTTTTTTTATTATTGGTCTTTTTTTTTTTTTCTTCCTTTCATTTTCTTTTGAGGAAAATAAACCAGCAGCGACTCACAGAGGACTCGCAATCCCTGCTGGTGGCACAGCTGCTTCCTTGAGCCTTATCTTGAAGGAGCAGGCGGGAGGGTGGGAGCCTGCAGAGCAGTCGCCTCTCAGTGGAGCATCTCCCCTCCCCGAGCTACCCAGTGTAATCCAGAGGCTTTTATATCCTTGTAAAACACGATATCAGCAGCCGGCAGCTGGGCCTGGAGTCGGAGAGCGATGGCAATCGCCTGCCCTAAACTCGTCCTCGAGGTTGGAGGGGGGGGAGCAGAAGATGTGGTGTCTCTATTAAATGGGACGTGGCACCGATTAAGCAGTTTTCAATGCAATCCAATTAACTCCTAAATTGAATTGTAATGCTTTGCCTAATACACCCCCCTCAGAATGGCCCCCCTGTGCTTGGGAAGGGAGTTCAGCCTTGATTTAATCAGATAAAAACCCCGTTTATTTGCTGCCTTTCACATCCTGCCAAGGTGTAAGGGGAGCAACCGGGCTAAAAATCTCTGTATTTCCCCCGGGAATTGGAGTTTCCTGGGAAAACACTGTGATTTTAGAAGTAAAGGGGGAAAACCCAACATTTTCCCCACTGATCTGGCCACCCAGATGTTCTGAGGGTGGTTTGGGTATCCAGGAAGATCAGGGACCTGGGACCTGGCATCAACCCCAGCCCCATCTGTACATGCATTCCAAGGGAATATGTGAGGCTGATGGGGGCAATGGGCAAAGCAAAGGAAGGCATCACCATCTCCTGATGGTTTCATGAGCTTTTGTTACAGAAAAGAGGGAAAATGGGATTTTCCCCTCTGATCTTCCTAAGCCACTGCAGTAATTTTTTTTTTCCCTCAGATATGTAAATCCGAGCTTATCCCATCTTCCTAACAATTAAGGAATTAGGCTTAATGTTCATCCATGGATGTGTTATTTGTTGAGCTGGAGGGAGATGGTGCTGCAGCAGAGGGTGGGGCACTGCCAGGGGCCCAAATGCCTCTATGCTCACACATGTAACAAGTTGTCCCATCCTCAGCCTTTCTCCTGTCCTCTCCTCAGACAGGGATGGGGTCCACACGTGCCATGTGGGTGCAGAACCCCCTGGCACACCCTATTTTTGGCCTTTTTTGGACCTTTCTGCCTCCTGCAGAGGTTTATCTCTAGGCCCCCCTCCCCCCAGTCTCACTTTGCTCCGTGCTGCTCCATCTAGAGAGGGATTGATTCCAGCAGTCGAAGCTAATCGGATACATCAAAGCATCTTGGAGCAATTTGTTAAGTAAATATATAAAAAAAAAAAAACTTGGCCTAAGCAAATATGGGAAGGAGGGGGGCGATGAAAGGCTCCAAAGGCAGGAGAAACTTCAGAGGCTTGGAAATGACGAGGGAGGGGAAAAAAAAAATTAAAAAATAAATAACGAGTGCCAGGAGTTTCAAAGCTTCCATCATTTCAGACGCGGATTCCCAGCCTTTCATCCCGGACCCCTGTGGGAAGGAGAGACGCAGCGATCTCTGTATGGATTTGAGATAGGAGATGTAGGGAAAAAAATGCCTTCAAATACCTTGAACCCTGTCCCTGGGGTGATACTGCCTGCCGGGATGGTGGGATTCTGAGCAGCGCTGGGCTGGGAATACAGGCTGGAATTGCTTTTCCAGGCTCTGCAGGTGCAGCCTGACCCTGGAAAAGCCGTGGTGGAAGGCAGCCCAGGCAAGGCAAGTGCATTATTGATGGGGCAGATAATTGCACGCTTCCCACCATCTCCTTGATGAAAAATTGATGGCACGGGATGAGGTAGCGAAGGGCTCCATTGACTTACACCAGCCTCTTTGTTCCCTAACAAACACCGGAGCAGAGGCAGACACGGGGTACCACAGCAGGAGGGAGGCACAGGAGCCTCTGTGGGGACCCTGAGAAAGGGACGGGATGAGGGACAAGCTGGGACAGAGAATCCTGTGCCTTAAAACCCTTTAAATTCGGTCTCAGGACGGAAGTGGGGTTTGCTCAGCAAATCATCCAGCGAATCATTCCCAGGCCAGGCTCCAAGGTGGAGCTGAAGCCTGATGCCACCCGGCACCTCCCAGACGTGGGTCCTCCAGAGTTAATTGAGTGTTTGAGACATCAGAGGAGCGTGCTGGGAAGGCAGAGCATTTCCGTGCATGGAAATGAGGCGCTGTCATCACTGCAGCCACCCAGGACCGCTGGGATCTGATGGTGGCCTCCACCAAGTCACCTCCTTGGCTCTGCACTGCTGGGAGCAGGGAATGAGGCAAAAAAAACCCTAAAATTGGGACGGAATGACAAGGGATGGCTGGAAGCAGCGAGGGGCTCCACAAGCTCTGATGGTTTTGGAAGACACAATGGGATGTTGAAGGGGAAGAGCTGTGGATATCCAGGGCACCTGTCTGCCTCTGGAATTCTCCCATCAGGGTGCAGACGAGTGATTTTAGCCTCCGAGCTGCTCCGGGGAGATGTTGCTAAGAGGCGAGTTGTGTTGTAGCAACAGCTGCTGGTGTGCTGGGAGCTCCATGCCACCTAAATCCTCTTGCCAGCAGAAAAGGCCTGGGAAAACCAGCTTTTCCTCATGCTACAGCCCCCCGGCATCACCACAAGTGCCCCTCATACTGCGGCTCAGGCGGTGGTGGAGGAAGAGGAGGTTTGCCTGGGGGGGATTTGTTTGGGGCAGGAGGAGCCTGGCAACCCACTGTGGGCAGGGCTGACTGCGGGAACGGGGTGCTGGGGGGACCAAGACACGCCAGGAGCGGGAAGGATGCTCTACTACAGACCCTTCTCCTCCACTGTGAGTGCCGGGAGTGGCAGGTGGGGATGGGGACGTCACCTGGTGTCACCAAGGGAGGGGAGGACCCAAAGATCCCTGTTACACCCAAGTTAGGGTGCTTGGCTCAACAGTCCCGCTGTGGAATGATGCTCATGGAGATGCATCCACATCTTACATGTAGCGGTGGCACTTGGGGACGTGGTTTAGGGCTGGTCTTGGCAGTGCTGGGTGAATGGACTTGATGGTCTTAAATGATTCCATAATTCAAAGTCAGGGATTTCTAAGTGCCCCCATCCTCAGGAGAAGGTCTTCTTCCAGCCCTCTGGCTGTATCCAAGCCCCAAGGTAGGATGCTTGAAGCATCGCAGGCAGTCATTCCAGAGGTTTTGGGGCAGAGCTGGATCCTGATCCCAAAGCAACAATGGCAAAGGTGCTTTGCTCCAGGTGAAAGCCCAGAGAGCTGCTCCCAGCTGTGGTAAAGGGAGTGAAGGAGCTTGTTCCTACTCAACCTGCTCCTCATCCTCACCCTCCGCTCTGATGTCTCCTGCCAGCTCCACCAAGATGACACGTCTCTCCCAGCAGTTGATGCCATGGCCAGTATCCTGCCCGGAAAGCAGCCACTCCCACATGGAGAGCAGAGGTATGGGGACCACTGTGGGTTTTCCTCCTCCTTCTTATCCTCCTTGGGGTGGTTTCATCCTTCCTCCACTCTCCCCATATTTTTCCCAGCAGTTTCTCCTCCTGCCCCAATGCTGCTGATCTTACTCCTCATCTCCTCCAGCCTCCCACCCTTCCTGCACTCCCATCCCTCCCAGCGCCCCAAGCAGGCTCTTCTCTCCTATGGAGGCTTCCTTGGCCAAGGTTTTGCCGGTGTTTCACAGTGTCCCCCCTGCTCTTGGCTCTGCAGGTCCCAGGAGATCTTTGGAGATCGCCAGGAGCTGGTGAGTGCCAGGGAGATGGGAGGAGCAGGGACAGTGGGGACACTGCAAGGGGACAGCAGTGTCCCCAAGGGTGGTCCTGGCTACCAAAGGGACCAAAGCCACTGAAGGTCTAGGAGAGGGTGGGGGGGGCAGCCCTTGAGCTTGGCTGGAGGGACCTTTATCTTGGGAATGAACCAAAGCCTGGGTGAAACTGCTCCTGGGCAGATGGGGAGGAAGGAGCAGAGCCTCTGGCTGCACCTGCCCCCCCCTTTCCTCCCTTCCCAAGGCTTCGTGATGCTGCTGCAGCCCCTCCCCATGCCCTGGTTCCCCCCATGGGCCACTGGCCAAGGCCATTCCCAAGGCTGGGAGCAGGGGGCCCAGGGAAACTGGAGGCACACAGCTGCCTCTGGCCAAGGTCCCTGCTGTCAGCATCCTCCCAGCGTGGCAGAGAGGGATTCAGGAGGGTCAGCCTGAAAAGATAAAAATCCTCAGGGAATTTTATCCCCCCAGCATCACCTGGCATCATCTTTCTGTTATTCTTCACCCCATCCCTTCTTTTAAAGACCTGCAAAGGCCCAAAAGGCTCAGAGCTTGGGGATGACTCCCAGATCCAGCGCTGCTCCACTCCACATCCGTGGGAGATGTCCCCAAGGGGGTTGTAGGAAAAGATGGGGAAATGGAGGAGGGGTCTGTCAGGTGGAAGGAGAGGTGGGTGGATGGAGAGGAGAAGGTTTGGAGGGACAGAATGGATGGTTGGAGAAGAAAAGGATGGATGGATGGATGGATGGATGGATGGATGGATGGATGGATGGATGGATGGATGGATGGATGGAGAAGGATTAAGACATGAATACATGCATGGATGGATGGGAAAAGGACTTCACTCACTAGAGAGTGAAAGATAAGTGGTTGGAGAGAGATGCATGGAGATGAGAAGAATGAATATATGAATTCATGGATGGATAGATGGATGGGGAAGAGAAGGATGGATGGAAGGATGGATGGAGAAGAGAAAAGAAGGACTGACACATGGATGGATGGATGGATGGATGGACAGATGGGTAAGAGAAGGATGGATGGAAGAGGTAGAGAAGGATGGATGGTGTCAAGAGGAGAGGAATATCTGGATGTTCCTTTGCTCCTCCATGGTGGGTCTGACCCTCAAGTCACATATCCCGAGCTGATCCCTTGGATCTGGGGACATCCCTGGCTGCCATGGGGTGCCAGCAGCTCTGTTCTGGGCTGGCAGGAGGTGGGCAGCTACCGCCTGGCGCTGAAGCGGATGGCAGGGGACCTGCTGTCCCTGCGCCGGCACGTCACCAGCCTGGAGGTGGAGAACGGGCACCTGCGGAGCAGCCTGGCCTCGCAGCAGGAGCTGGGCCACTCCCTGCTCCACGACGACGACCTGGATGTCATGACCCGGGAGGAGCTGCTGGACAGGCTCGGTGTGTGGCGGGGAGGGGGCAGGCAGGTGGAAACTGGGGGACCTCCTCCCTGGTCCCCTGGCCAGGTGACAAGGAGGTGGCATGGGGTGCGTCTTGCAGCCACCCTCAAGCACAAGCTGGTGGCCAGCACAGCAGAGATGAGGAGACTGAAGGATCGTGTCCAGCAGCTGCAGAATGAGCTGATCCGGGTATGGATGTGAGCAGGGGCTGCCTGGGGGGATGGAGTGGGCTGGTAAAGCAGGGGAACCAAGGAAGTGCCTCAGAGCCCCAGGACCCCCCCATGAGGTCCTCCCAGATGATGTCCCGAGGCTTGAGGCTCAGCACAGGGCTCCCTTGGGGGAATTTCCCCTTCCTCCCTCACAGAAAAATGACCGGGAAAAGGAGCTGGTGCTGCTCCAGCGAGCCCACCGGCTGCAGCAAGCCATGCTGAGGAGGTGCCAGGATAAGGCAGCCAAGGCAAAGGGCTTGGAGGAGACGGTGCAGCAGCAGGAGAAGGTGAGCCATGGGGCACTAGGCCGGGGTGAGAAGGACAGACTGGGGGGCACGAGGCACTGTGGAGCAGACGGGACCCTCTGGCTCATCCTGCTCCTCTGTGAGGTGATCATCAAAGCCTTGCATTGGGCCGGTGACACGGGGACAGCTCTGCTGTCTCCCACAGGTCATCGAGGTGATGGAGCGGGTGCTGCAGGAAAAACTCGCCAGGGCGGGCAGGAGCACGGAAAAGCCGGCAGGTGGGTGCGAGAGGGAACGAGGACTCTCGGGAGAGCCGGGTGGGGAGGGGGGGTCCCATACCCGTCTCCTGGGCTCCCTGGGATGATCCATGATGGGGGATCAGTCGGTCCTGAGCCCGCCAGCTCACATTCCTGGGCGTGGGAGAGGCAAGGGCTTGCTCTAGCCCCCATCCCTGCACGGGGAGGGGCGTAGGACACGTCCCAGTGTCCGTCCCCCCCCACCCCATCCCCCAGGTGAAGCCCTCTCCGGGGAGGTGCACACCGCGCTGCTGGCCGAGAACCGCCGCCTGCGGGAGGAGCTGGCGAGGGCCGCCCACCCCGCAGCCCCCATTGCCCCGCGGCCCCCAACCTTGCCGGTGAGACTGGGAGGGGGCGGGCATAGGACTGGGAGGGGCAGCAGAGCCGTGGCACCCCAGAAAGTGGGGGGTGTCGCCTGGGGGCGTCACCGAGGTGGCATCTCCGGCTCTGTGGGGCAGTAGCCACCCCACGGCCTGCCCCCGCCGTGAGCAGCGCGAGGGAGCGGGGAAATGCAGCGAGGCCGTTCCCACTCCGGCTCACCTCGTGCCCACAGGGCGTTTTGGGGGGCACGGAGAAGCTGTCTCTGCTGGCCAGGCTGGAGGAGGCACAAGCCCGCGGGCGAGTGCTGGAGAGGCAGGTGGGCATCACCCCTCTGCACCCCACTTGATGGCGGGGGGCTTGGAGTGCGTGGCACCTCTGCCCCCATTTCCTCGGGAGAGCCAGCCTGTTTTGTGTCTGTCCCAGCTGGAGAAGGCAGCGAGGAAGTGGGGCCGGGAGAAGCAGGAGCTTGGGACTCGTCTGCTGGAGCAGGAGAATGGCTTCCTCCACCCCTCGGTGAGCACACAGGGGGGACCAAGGACACCCCTCACGGGGGCTGGCAGCCGGTGTTTGCTGCCAGCAGGAAGGATCGGGACTCAGAGCCACCCCCATGTGCTCTGGGGACAGTTTGAGGGAGGGGTGCTTGGTGGGGGTGGGTGCTGTCTCCATGCCCACCCTCACACTGGGGGGAATCTGCTTCAATTTCCCTGTAGGACAAGAGGGAGGGGGGAGTGTGGACCTTGGGGCCCCCAAAATACACCCCTACCAACCCAGAGCCCTCTCACCCACACTCGATGTCCCCCAGAGGGCGGGGCTGAGTTTACAGCTCCCCAAGACCTTTTCCTGCCCCTCAGCAGAACCTGACTGCAATTTCCACGGCCCCCCGGAGAAGACCCCACATCCTGCCCCCCCTGCCCTAACCCGCGGCCGCTGAGAGAGACGGAGAGACGCAATGCTGGCAGGAAGAAGCCGGTGCTTTTTGACGGGATGCGATGACAGACAATATAAGAGGCAAAGCAGAACACCGGAGGGGGTGGGAGGAGCTCGGCCGCAGTCCCTGGTGCCGTCCCCAGGGAGCCCCGAGCAGCCGGAGGGTGCAGCAGCACCAACCCACCCTCCCACCCCGCACTCCCTTGGGGTGGCTTCAGTTTATCTCCCCCGTGGCGTAAGCGCAGCCTTGAGCCAAGGCAGGGATGCAGCAAGCCAAGGCTGTGGCCCTGAAAGCGTCCCAGGCGTCCCCCAAATCCCATCCCCAGGCTGGAGGCTGGCTGGAAGGAGCCGAAAGTGCCTGTTGGGATGTGGGGGATGTCCCGAAATGGTCTCCCGGGCTGGGTGTCACCCGGGAGCAGGCTCGTCACGCCCGGGACTCGAGCGGCCGTAAGGTCAAGTAGATGGGTTTGTCTGGGATCAGAATGAGATCGAACTTGGTCCCAATTTCCACTGCTCTCATGGTTTCAATCTTGAAGTTCTCCAGGATCTGGAATGAAAGAGAACGGAGCAGATGGGTTGGATAGGGCTTGGAGCAGCCTGGTCTAGCAGACCCTGCCCTGGAGGTACCAACACCGACATGCCACTTCCCTGATCCCTCCCAGTGACAAGTTCCCGGTGTCCCCAGCAGCAGGAGGCTCACCTGCATGAGGAAGAGCTGCATCTCCAGCTCAGCGATCCGGCGCCCCAGGCACTGCCGGGGTCCAAACCCAAAGCTCAGTCCCTGGAAGTGCTTGGGGCCAGCTGCCAGCCAGCGCTGGGGCCTGAACTGCTCTGGCTTGGGAAAGACCTCAGGATCCCGGCCCATGGCGTAGAGACCGACCTGCACCAGCGTCTGTAGGGAGAGATCAGCCCCATGGGTCTGGGCTCTCCATGTGGCTTTGCTGGGGTGCAGGGGTGGCATCCAGCCCTCCAGCTGCTCCCACCATGTCACACAGGTCCCACAATGGCCACAGGGTAAGGAGGGAGCTGGTGGCCATGCTCACCTTGGGGGGGATACGGTAGTCCTGGAGGATGACCTCTTGAGTGGTGTACCTCTGCAGGGTCACGGCCACGGGGTGCAGCCTGGGGAGACAAGTGCCACACACCTCATCCTGGGGACAGCCTGGCCTGCCCACATTCCCCCTCGATTCGTGACGGTTCAGGGAGGGAAGGGGCTGGGGGTGTTTTCCAGCAGAGCCCCTGCTCACCTGAGCGTCTCCTTGATGGCAGCTTTGAGCAGCCGGATGGTTTTCAGCATCTTCACCCTGTCCCCTGCCGCCTCACGCTTGGCAGCCAGGACCTCTGCCCGCAGTTCCTCCTGGACCCCCGGGGCCCGTGCCAGCTCGAACATGGCCCACTGCAGCGTCATGGAGGTCTGGAGCAGGGCAGGGGAGCAAGGCTCAGCACCAACCAGCACCTTCCCCCCGCCCAGCCACCCTGCCCGCTCCGTACCGTGTCCACCCCGCCCGCCATCATCTCGGTGACACTGGCCCTGATGTCCTCCAAGGGCAGCTTGTCCCGCATGATGAGGTTGCAGAGGATGCCCATGTACTCCTTGGTGCTCTTGCGCTGCAGCCGTAGGTCCCGGTAGACATTTTGGATGCATTTGTCCGCTGAGGAGAGACACAGAGGCGTGACATGGTCTTCCTCCCCCAGGGAATGGTGGAGGAGGAAGGCGCATCAGGACATCAGGACATTGCTACTCCAGAGGGAGACAGCCTGCAGGAGGGCTATCCCAGGTGCCCAAAGCTCTCTGAGGCCACATGCCCCTCTGGGAGAGCTGCTCCCCTCAACAAGCTGCCCATCACCTGCCCTTCATCACTCCTGGATGATTCCCCTCAGCTCCATGCCACAAGCTCCAGATGTGGAAACCACTCCTGGCCTTGGTGATTGGACCCAGGAGAACGTCTCCAGATTGGTGACATGGGGCTGCACTGTGGAGCCAAGCCCTCAAAGGGATCTTGGATGACAAATGGAGGTGCAGGCAGGAGGAACACTCACCCTGGGAGAAGATTGCATCCCAGGCCTGGACATGGTCCCGCCACGTCTTGGTGTTGAGGTGGCGGAGGAGGGCTGGCGGCAGGTAGAGCATGGGTGACGTGGTGTGGAACATCAGGGTCACGGCATCGATGAAACGCTGCGAGTCGGGGTCCACGAAGTCCTGCAGCAGCCCCAGCCGCTCCCCGTACAGCACATGGCACACGGCTGCAGGGACAGCACCCATGAGGGGACCCATCCCCATCCCCTTCCACCATCCCATGGCCAGCTCCAGCCTTTTTAAGACCTGGCTTGGCCTCCTGTTTGTTCAGGGTCGTGGAGGGTTGGTTTGGGTAGGGTTGGCCACCAGTTGATGACCAGCAAATGATAAAAGAGTGTTTTATCAAGTACTGAGTTGTTCTCTTGTCTAGACAGAGGACATCCTGCCTGGAGAGAGGAGGCTCCTCTACACACTTCAACTTTGGGAGAGGCACTGGTTGGCCCATCTCTGAGGATGAAGCTTGGGGAAAAGGGTGGGTTTTTTGAGGGGCACAGGCTTTGAGGCTCATCCCCCCAACACTCACACTCCAGGGCGAAGCGGAAGAGCTCATGGGTGAAGTCGGCCGTCCAGTGCCCTCGGCCGCTCTTCTCCACCTGGGCTCGCGCCCGCCGGATGAAATCCTCACCCACCTGGCTCAGCAGGGGCACAAACCCCTCCACCACCTCTGGCGACAGCACCTCCTTGTTCAGCATCAGGCGGTCTGAGCGCCAGGCCTCCCCTGTCCTGCAGGACACCAAAGCGGGGGTCAGAGGTGTCCCACTCACCCAGGGGATGCCACTCCCCAGCAGCCAACGTCCCCATCACCCTCCTGATGTTCCAGCTTCTCCCCAGCCCGTGTGCCAGGGCTATGGCAATAGGACCTGGTAGCCCCATTTTGAGGAGCCCCCCTGACTCACTTGAGGAGCACACCGTAGGGCTTGTTGCGGAAGTCACGATATGCCACCCAGGGGGGGACACTGAAGCGCTCTGGCAGTGTCCCCTCTGCCTGGAAGAGGGTGGCGGCGTCCCGGGGGCTGATGATGTTCACACTCTCGTAGACACCCAGCTTCTCCCTGATGAGGTGAAGAGGAGGGTCAGCCCTGCACTCAGCAACCCCAAATCAACCACCCGCCCCCTTGCATGCCCTAAAATCCTGCTGGAAGGATTCAGGAATGCATCCTGGGGAATGCATGGGCTCAGCATCAGGATCAGGCCCTCAGGACTCAGGTGGGAATAGAGAGCGGTGCTGAAATCAAATCCCCCGCCCTTCCTCCTCAGATCCACACCCTGTGGAAATCAGGGAGGGCAGAATCCTCTCCAGCTCCAGCATTCCATCCTCCAGATATTGGGCATCCACAAGGCACTGCTGCATGGTCCCTGCCCCCTCCTAGGGCACAGGGTCTGTCCCTTCCTGCCCCAGGTTTCCCTCCCAAGGATTTGTCCCTTCCTGCCACCCGTTCCCTGTCCCCTCCCATGGCACAGGGCCTGTCCCCTCCTGACTCCCCTTCCCTTTTTCCCCCCCCAGGGCACTAGCTCTGTCTCCTCCTGCCCCCCTCTCGCCCATCACTGTGGTATCAAGCCTGGTCGGCGCAAGGCAAGCCAGACTCCTCCAGCGGCTCAGCCACGTACTCCCCCCTCCCTCGCCCCGAGCAGGGCTGGTAATAGGAGCATCATCCCGGTCTGGAAAAGCCGCTGGGGTTGGGGAGCAGGGTGAGAGAGGCCAGGGGGGCCCAGATGCCACCTCACCTGTAAATGGGCCCGAATTGCTGGAACTTGCGAGCCATGATGTGGTGGACGTTGTTCAAGCCGCCCTCCTGCCAGAAGCGGTACAGGTTGAGCCAGCCGGCTCGCCACTCCCCTGGCAGCTGGTTGAAGGGTCGGGGAGCTGAGGGCGTGGGGGTGGCAGTCCCCCCAAGCCGGTGGCACCCCCCGGCTGGGACAGGGGGACATCCCCGCAAGGCTCCGAGTTTGGGCGCAGCACGGGCGAGCATGGGAGCGGGCGGCAGAGAGGGAAGGGTGGCCTGGAGCGGGCGGTGGAGTGGGGAGGGTGTCCTCGCTCTTATCCCGGCTCAAGGAGAGGTGCTCTCGCCCGCCTCCCGATGAGTCATGGCCCCCCCCGGGGCCGGGGACAGACGGACACTGGGGCAAGGGGTTGGCAGAGCATCGTCCCCTCCCAGCCTTGCCACGGCGGGGTGTGACAGGTGACACGCCGACCTTGAGCGGCAAGGGGTGACCACGGGTGACACTGGCAAGTGGCCTGTGTCACCCCACTAAAGGCGGGTGCTGCTGCCAGCGCTGACAATGAAGACTCGGCTGCCAAGGGGAGAAATGGCTTATCTGCCAAATAAATGATTAAAATGATCTAGGAGACAAAATAGTGGCAGTTAAACATAATAAAGGTCGCATCAGCCCAGCAGGGGACATCCTTGGGGACCCTTGGCCAAGGTCACCCCAGGAGGGGACAGCCTTGGGGACTCCTGAACATTGCTGAGGGTGTCTTACCTCCACCCTCCTCAGGACAGGGGGTGCTGGGTGGGACACATTCCCACTTCCCAGGCTCTAACCCTAACAGCAATCACCCCCCTTCCAGAAGGGAAAGGCTTTTGGGGGTGTTCTGAGCCACGGAGAAAGGCTGCAGCACCCGAGGATGGTGGCAGACAGGCACAGTAACACAGGGACAGGTTGTCCCCAGGCACAGTAACAGCCACTGGCAATGGTGGGGTGGGGAAGATAATGGGGTGGGCTACACTGAGGGGTCCCTGAGGCATCTCTTTGGGGTGTCCCCCGGGTCTCTGGGGTGTCTCTGTAAGGGACCCCGAGCGGGATGAGCAGCGGGATGTCCGGGGCCGGGGATGCTGAGCCGGGCTCGGTGGTGGATGCGACAACGGCGGCGGCCACCGGGAGGCGCGCCTGGCCCGTCAGTGCCACCGCACGGGGACAGCGCCGACTGTGCCCCCCCTCCTCGGCACCTGAAGCCTGTCCCCTGCCAGGGCACAGGATTTGTCCCCTCCTGCCCCATGGTCCCCGTCCCGTGCCAGGGCACAGGGGCAGTTCCTTCCTGAGGATTTGTCTCCTCCTGCCCCCCACTCCCTGTTCCCTCCCAGGAAAGAGGGTCTGTCACCTCCTGTCCCCATGAGTCCCGTCCTTTACCAGGTCACAAGATCTGTCCCTTTCTACCTCAGAGTCCCTCTCCCCTTCCAGAGCACAGTGTCTGCCACCTCCTGCCCCAAGTTTTTGGTCACCTCCTGCCCCACAGTCCCTGTTCCCTCCCAGGGCACAGGATCTGTCCCCTCCTGCCCCACGGTCCCTGTCCCCTCGTGTACCAGGCCCCATGGTTTATGCCAGCATGAAAACACCAACTGGCTGCATGTGCACCCCAGAGCTGTCCCACACCCCGGAGACATGATGGCACAGTGTCACTCCCTGTCCTTTCCCCCTGCACTGTCGCTGTCCTGGGTGGGACCTGCTGCCTCCCCTCCAGCCATGGTCACGAGGTCAGGGCCCAAGGGACACAGAAGGGACACGGAGGGACACACTGCCACACGCTGAGCTCCACCCTGTCAGACACTGCCTCCAGCCCCAAGGTCACAGTCCCCATCACACTCAGTGTCACCTCTGCACCTCCCTTTCCACCACCTCTCCAAAGCATGTGGACAACTCCCGGGCTCCTTCACCTGATGCCTGTCCCCCCTCGGATTAAGGGGTCTCACACACATTCTCCATGGGGCCCTGCCCTTCTTCCCCTGATCCCCCTGCCCTGGGGAGGGCTCCACATTTTTGCTGCAACCCTGCCAAGGTGTTACCGCTCCTACGGCACAACAGAACCACGACCGTTTGTGTCCTCTCACAGAGCAAACCGCAGGGCATTTGGGGGGCTCTGATGGAAGGTGGAGGGGTGGGCAGGAAGCGGTTCAAGGGCTGCAAACACCCGCAGCAACCCCCTGTCCCCAGCCATCACAGTGGGGACGGGACTCGGAGCACATCGTGGCTTCATCCGTGACGAGCGCAGCGGCAGCGCGTGGATGGAGGCGGCGCTTCTCCCGCCTCCGCAGGCAGCCCACGGTACCGCCTGACTCGGGTGTATCCCTGCTATTTTGGGAGGAGCGAAACAGAGAGTCTCACCCCTCCCCCGAGGCCTTCTCCCTCTGCCACCCACACCGGGGACGAGAAGGGCCCCGCCAGCGTGGTTTCGTCCCGCCGAGAGGTGACACCGTGGGCGTCGTGGGCTTTCGCTTTCCACTCGTGGGGTTTTCCTGACATGTCACCCCTGGAGCGAGCAGGTGACTCACCACCTTCACACCTTCCCCTGATAATAACCCCTCCAGGAGGCCACTGAGACACCCCCTTGGCTCTGCTCCACAACCCCAAGTCCAGCCTCCCTTGAAAATCCCCCTCCTCAGCCTCATCTCTTGGAAACCCAGGGCTGGGAGTGCCATAATTGTGATGATTTAGGGTAGAGGAGATGTTTTGGTGGAGCAGCTCATCCTTAAGTATCTCTGCCCCCCCCCCCCCCGAGCCAATGGGAATAGGCTGGGATGAGTCTCACTTCAGTGTGATGCAGGAAGTGGATCCATTTTGAAGGGAAAATAAAAGGACAGTGTAACATTGCTGGGATGGAGAGCAGAGCACAGCAGAGTGAAATCCATCTGCAAAAAGAGCATAGAGCTGCTGCTTTGCTTTCTTACCTCAAAAATACACCCTGCATTCCTACATGGACCATCCTGCTTGGCTCCCCATTGCTCACACCCGTCCCATAGGAAGTACAGTGGTTTTCATGTATTTCCCAACGATTTCTTCTCTTTTTGGCAGTGATTTCACCCCGGGATCTTCCCTGCTCTCCCGTGAGTGAATTCATTCATTGCGAGCTTTCAGCTCCTGCCTACAAACAGGTACTTGGGATAATTCCAGTAGTAAAACTGCTGCCCAGAAACCCCCTGTGATTCAATCTGGGGCTGGAAGGGAGGGAGGGAAACTCATTTTCATAATATTATGTTGAAAAAGAGAAACTTTCGGTTGCAAACAGACTGTGACTGTGACCAAGCAGTTCTTGCTGGAAGGTTTCCCCTGGGAGTGGAGAGAAGGGGATGACATTGCACGTGGTCATCATCCCCCACAGCATCCCTGAGGCACTGTTGATGCTTAAGTTACTGCCAGAGCATCCAGAGGATGGAGCCATCCAGGACAAACTTTAATGTGAAACAGGAACAAGTCTACCTCGTTTTTATTCTCCCACTTCATTGAACTGAATCTCTTCTTACTAATGTATTGCCTTTAATCCCAGGCCTAAAAATTGCTGGGTTGATGTCTGGTTTTTGGGGTCTCCATCCAGTTGGGATGGGGCATCCCAGCCTGATGGGATGCATTCTTTGGCCAGGATCATCCCCCAGGGATGTTGGAGTGGAAATTCACGGCTCGAAAGGGAAAGCATTTGTGTGTGTAGCTGTGGGGAGGAGGAGCACGGCAACGTGGGAGGAAGGATGATCCCATGTTTAACTTCCTCCAGCTTCTCCTGGGTCATGTCATTTCTAGTAAAATGGCTGGATTTCCCACTTGGCCAGCCCTGATCCACCTCAGCAGTGTGGCATCACCCACACCTCACACCCACACCTCCGTGTCCCAGCGTGGACCACAGAACAGACAGACACCTGTCTGAGGCTGGTTAAATCCTGAGAGCCTCAGGAAAATGGGAAAACAGCCACAGGGCAGCAAATAACCCCTACAAATAGAGCTGTCACACCACTGACTGGGAAAACAGGTCCGACAAGGCAGCTGGGAGAGAGCCAATGGGCGGCACTTTCAGGCACCTGACCCAGACATGTGAATTCCCTGGATAGAGCCATTTATCCTCTTTTATGGGAGGATGGAAGGTGTGGTCATGATGCAGTAGCACCTCTCCATCCTGCTCCTGTAAATTCAGGGGTGGCTTTTGGATGTCCCTATTCCAGGCTCCAGCAGCTCCTTCTGGGGTGGCTCTGTACCCCCATCCCATCAGGAAAAGCTTCCCAATGGGGTGTTATGGCTAGAGCCGCTGTCTCAGCTGAGCCTGCAGTCAGTGCATCCACGGGGTGCTACTGTGGGATTTCCCACCGGCTCTGGCCTCTGATGCAGAGGGATACAGGATTTCCTGGGACTATTGTCCTGAACAGCAAACCCTCCTCCTGGAGCAGCCTCTGGTGAGGCTGGAGGCAGAAATACCCCCCAGAAAAATGATGCTGGGAAAAAACAAAATGCCTGTGGCTTTTGTTTGAGGTGTACGGCCGTTCCCACTCTGCCTGTGCTGGAGGAAGCCCAGAGAAACTGCTGGAATACCTGACCTTCCTGTGCGTGCCTGCTCCAGTGAAAACACAGATCCCAAAATAACTCCCTCGAACAATGTGGCCATAGTTGGGGTGAGGGCGGTGACGTTCCGGCTTTCCCCTCCAGCAGCCCTGAAGCCACAATAAATCCTGGTGCCTGTGTTTGCTCCCGGGTTTTGGCTCATTGTATTTAAGGAAACAGCCAGCGGGTGGTGGAAATGTATCCCAGAATAAAACACAGCCCAAAGGCTTCAAGTTTTCTCAAGGAATTTAGCAAAAGGGTCCGTGTTTTGCCCTGGTTGTTCCCAGGGAGTGGGGATGGAAGCCTGCTGGGGATGGAGATGCAGCTACAGCCCCTGTGTGTGCCCATGAGTCTCCCTGTCATCCGCGGATCCCAGGTTGTCCCTGTGCCCTCAGCCGGATAGTTTGGACAACCAAACTGGAATTGTTGCTGCCTGCACCTCGCTTCCAACCCACTCCCAAGGGGCTCGGGATCACCTTCATGTGCTGCTCCCAGCCCTCCTGCCCAGGGTTTCGGTGAGGGAGTTTAGAGCTTTGAATTTCCCTTGGCACCAATGGAGCTGGGAATGCAGACAGCTTGGTGTCCACATACAGCACCCAAAAAATATGTCTGGGTGCTGGGTTCGTCACCGTTCCCGTCCCGGGAGAGCTCCCCACCTCCTCCCATGGCAGAG